CAGTGGGGATCTGCAGAGGGAACAAGTTCAAAACACAAGTAGTACTTCAATAAGTAACCTATTATTCCTTTGTGATATTGCTCCCACAGATCCCTCAGAGATACTAGTTAGCGGTGACAATCCTTAGGAAAAGGGCCGCGTACTGTTAATTGAAAAGAGACGTGAACATTTTCTCCTAGAATGAAGCATTCAATGGGATTTGTGATAAATACTGACAGAGTGATGCTTTGGAAAGGTGGGACTCAACTGTAGGTATCTCAACAAATGGCACTCAACAAATAGATGGTAAAGAAGCTGCTATCCACTCCTCCCGTAGAACGAGCTTTAAGTTCTCCTCATACAGGATCTTCAGTAAGCACAGACCATCTGTATACAAAAATGGATCTGTTTAGAGTGCATCTGGACTGAAAAGTACTGGCTCTTTTCTCTAATTATACACCATAATAAAACTGAGGGGAAAAAAAACAAACAACTTTCTACTGCCAAGGAAATAACCAATAGCCTTCTTCATATTCAAGGGGCACCATCAAGCCTAACATGGAAGATCAAGAGGCTCAGCAAAGTGTTTGCTTTAAAGGAAATTTGGAGGCCACCAGAGTCAAGATCTTGGGATAGGATTTTAGAACTCAATCCTTACAAAATTTGTACAAGGACAACCTGTCACCAAAACTTACCATTATGAATCTCTCCTGGCAATTGCTATAGTTGGAAGGAAAGGATCTTTCAACAGAGGTGCAAGAAGGAGCAGGTGTCCTCATACAATTGAGAACCAAGATTTTAATCCCCCATATTCCCAGGTAACGATTTTGAATATACACATTGATCAAACTTTGTAGTGGGGATGTGAAGTATCTGTCTACACAATACTGACATAAATCGAAATGGAGGGAGAAGATGAGGCTCGGTGTCCATTTTCTCAAGGCAGGAATGGGGGTATAGTTGGATGTGGGGACTTCTGCACTTTTGTTTCTAGGATGCTGGAGCACAGTGACAGGCACACATTCCTCCAACAGCTAGCTGCTTTGAAATGGGGTCTGTCTCCACGGATCAGGAGACAATCTCACAGTGGAGATGTGAGAGTAAGGTCGTGAAGAAGAAACCCTATTCCCAAAGTATTGCACCAGTACTGCAATTCTCTAAATGCCAGGTGTTCCTTGCCTATTTCAGCCATCTGAAGGCCAGGTTAGGCAAATCTTCTGTTTTTTTACAATCTGATCTTAACACTCCTGTGCTGTACTTTACAGACAGGCCCTCGATCCACAGCACATAATAATATCTTCACTTACATAAAAAGTACTCTATGATCTCACACCATTCTGTTCAGAAGACTTTTTCCTTCCTACAGTGAAACTTCAAGTGCCGGCTTGGTTTTGCTGGTGATACAGGAGACTGCAGATGCTCCATTTGGAGAAGCACACCTCGTGATTTTTTTTTTTTTTTTTTTAAATATACTGACCTCACTTTAGTCAAGACTTTCAAATCATTTTCAAAATTTCAGTTTCAAGAGGCTCACATTAACTTCTGCAGCAGCTTTTATATTGCTTTCATTTATGCCTAAAATATGTTTAACTCATAAGGCCTACTAAGTTCCTACCTTAACTTTTCATGTGCAGTTTGTAATATAATTATGCAACAGACTCAGATCTCATTTCAATGTGCAGTGTCTATAAATGTTACTAAAATGCATTTAACAGTCAACAAATCCAAAGCATTTTCCACTACTGCTCACTCTTCAATTTTCACTTACAGTAGATCAAACTCCTATCATGCAGAATTTAAAGGAAATCTTCCATGCAAAAGGAAGATAGCTCACGCAGACACATTCTTATTTGCAATAAGATGAATATCTTTCATGGAAAACCTATTTAAAAAGAGTGCCTTAGTATTTTATTTTTTAACAGGCCTGTTAAAGTTTAACCATGTTGGGAAACTGCTTTTCTTTGCTCTATACTGCCAGCATAAGACATTTACATAATACACAAAACATATATAATTACTTTCCTGAATCCTGCTTCAATGGACTTTCACCCCCAATTTCACAGGAAGATTCTTAAATTGGGAATTTATTTATGCCAGTATTTTGCACTGTCCTATTTTCTCAGACATGTTAGATAATAACTTTTGAAAACTGTTAAACTGAGGAAAAAGTAACCCTAAAAAACTGTCCTAGCTAATTCAGACAAAATATAAACACTTCAACAAGCCAGAAAGCAGTCAAAATTTTAAAATAAGGAATTCTTTTACTTCATCTTAATCTATGGTCAAACAAGTAAACTGTATACTAAACTGATCTAGGAAAGATGCTAATGACATTGTTGTCTCTTATTTATCACTGGAGACCTAATCTAGCACGTGTCCGTGAAATGATGGCCCTGTGACACCAGGCGCTTTAAAACTGGATCACTCAGTACACACACATACATACACACACACACACACCCCCAATTCTTGAACAAGCAATTCCAGGCTGCTTTGCCAGCAAATTCTGGCCGGTACAGTTTGAAAGTGCATAGTTCTGGCACTCACAAAGAGCAGACCTGTAAATGACATCTTGAGGATTAAACTGATTGAGATGCAATGCGCCTAGCAACCATTCATTAAGAGAGTTCAGAAACAGGCCAGCAATCTATTCCACCTCCTTATCTGAGCAGTAAACAGATAATAGTCTCCACTGTGTCCTCTACCCTCTATTTCAGACACATTGTAAACAGCTTTCTCAAACGTTAAGCCTCCTACAGTAAATCTCATGGAATAACCCCCTCTCTAAACACACACAGGATTTAATTTCAGCAAGTGTCTGACAAGCTTGAAACAGCTAAAAAACTATCGTAATGCAAATCTCCATGTGAATGTATTCACAGTTCTGCTTTGTCCACTATTCTCTCACCTTGAGCACCAAGAGCCCATCCCCAACCTTAAAACCCCCCCAACATTTAATCATGCAAGATTTTGGCACTGCTACTCCAATCGTTAAGAAACTCAATAACAATCTTATTCCTTTCCTTCAACTTCTGAAAGGAATCAATTTATATTTCTGAAGGCTTTGATATAGGTTCTCTCTTAGGGAAGAGAACAAAAGTCACTTTTCCTCCCATTAAGCCCTCTGCTCATAAATAACCAGGACAGAACGAAAATGGCATAGGAGAAAATTAAACCAGCTACTTCAGTCTCAGTAGTGCAATGTGTTTCAACCACTTAGCTATAGAGATTATGGTAAGTCATGATTTCACATAATTGTTTCCTCATAAGTAAACATTTGATGGTTTCCTATTTTGCATCTAAGTTAAATGATAGAGATTAGTGTAGACCTCCTATGATTATATAGCTGAATGTTTCATCTTCTGAGTACAGTTTTTGGGAAATCACTGACATACAGCATATTACTACTATTACATTTTTAAGATAAAAAATTAAACAGAAAATAAATTAATGCCATGTAATACATTTTCATAAAGGTAGGGTGGCTGAATACTCTCACAGATGAAAAATGTGAGCCCCATCAACATTTGTGACTTTACCTTTATTAGGAAGTCAAAGGTACTTGATGACTCAACGGTTCCTACGCAATTCAATGCCTTATAAGTGTCTCCAGCCGACACTGCCACTTCACCTACTCAACTAAATCTCATATTTAAAAATAATTAAAAAAAAGCTTTTAAAAACCCAGTGTTGCAATAGCTGCTGCAATGTTCATTTGTGTTTTAGAGTTAACAGGCTTCCCAAACATTGCACTTTAATACACAAAAACTAACTTCCTATTAGAGAATGAAATAAACATGATGATGCAACAGTTACTAACCTGGTATCATGGGTGGGAAGAAAAAAAATTCATCAAACGTATCTGAAGGAGCTAGCAAATGTAGCTTACTTTCTTAAGTGGAAGATCTCAGTTAATTAAGAACAGATCTTTCTGCTTTAAGTTTACAGTTTTTGTGGCTGCTGAACCTAAGCCATGCCAATGCTGCGATAAGAACCTACTCGTCTCTAATACAGCACCATATTACTGACTGCCTTCTGGTGACAATGATCTCTGGAAGCTTTGCTTCACTTACTAGAATGAACTCCGTATCACTTTAATTAATATCTCCAAAGTGCCTGAAAAAAACTGATATTCAACTCTTAGCATTTTGCACCTGATATTAGTCATGCCAGCTCTTGGCTAATCAACATAAAAGATATACTTGTTCCACGTTTAGTTGGAAATGCCTAATTACAGAAAGTTTACAATCAGCATAGCCACCTAATTAGCACATGCACCAGCTGGTTACAAAGCATTAATTTTAAAGCTTTACATTTGAAATCCATTTAGGAATTATTTTAAAGTGTCAAAATCAGCACTACCCTGATTTCTGCTGGATTCAAATGCTCTTCCTTGTCTTACAGGATAGCTCCAAAGTTATGATACGGTAAGGTCGCTTAGGCCCAAACCAGAAGTGAAGTATCTCAAATCTGCTTGACTTGCTAGAGCCAGGTTCAGGCAAAACTAGATGGACAGTACAGAATGCAAACCAGAAAATCAAAGCCAAGAGTCCTGTCTACAGACCGAACAGGGAAAGTTTAAAAAGGGATGGGTTTAATTGTAATCCTTCCAATCAAAATTAATAGGGTCAAGTTAAATTCGGCGGGAGGAGGCATTTCACAGATGCTAAGGAATCGTCTATTTGCCTGAAAGGAGGAGGAAGATACCAGGAAAATCGGGGATCACCGGGTTTCTGCAGGAGAAAAAGGAGAGGAAGTCCATAAACGCAGTGGCCAGGGAGGGACTCCTCCAAGGCAGGCTAAGCTCTGCGTGGCGACCCCGCCGCTGGAGCCCTGCCCCAGGGGGGTCTGCGTGCAGGGGTCGGGCGGGCTCGGTTTTACCCCCATCAACGGGGCCGCATCCCGAGCCGGACAGGAACCCGCCGCCGGAAAGGGGCCCTTGCAGGCCGCCGCCCCCACCCTGCTCCCCTGCACCCCAGGCGTGCGGAGCAGAACCGGGCTGCTCCCTGCCGGAGCCTTACCGGGGCGCAGCTCGGAGAGGCGGTGCAGGCAGCCCCCATAGTCGGGGCCGCGGGAGCCGCGGCTGCTGCACCGGGCTCGGCGCTTTGCATCCTCTTTGCAAACTCAGCTCCCAGCAGCTCGGCTCCCGCAGCGCCGGAAACCGGCCCCGCCCCGGCCCTGACGGATGGCGGCCTCCCGCCAATGGCAGCCGCCGGCCGGGCCGGGCCGAGCCGAGCCGAGCCGAGCGGCAGGCGGGGCCCTTTGTTAGCGCTCCCGGAGCGGCGCCCCGCTCGGCCGGGCTGCACCTGCCGCGGGCCTTTGCGCCGCACCGCCCGCGCCAGCCCCAGCCGCGTCCCCCAGCAGGCCGGGCAAGCGGCGAGCCCGCAGCCGGCCCCCGGACTGCGGAGGTGAATTTCCATCCTTTCAGGGTGACGCGCCCAGGCCCTAAGCGCTTCCTGCCCCAACGCCGCCGGGCTCCCAGCCCGGACTCTGGAGCCAGGCGTGGGCAGTGAGACTCCTGCACGCTGTCGCCCCCAGGCTTTTGTGAAATGGGGTCTACGTGCCCTCCTGCACTGGAAGAATTTAACAGCAGTTCTGTAAGAGTTTAAGAGTTCATTGTTTAAAAAGGGAAGGCTTGATGCTTGTAAAGATAACCCTGAGGACGCGAGCCACGTTGGCACTGATTTGGTATTGTCTTCTTGAGTCTGGGGCCAGACAGCTCCTTCGGGGCTGCCACTACTCTGAGCTTTGCCACCTAGCGCCTCTGGTCTGTTTCATTGCTGCTGTGCAGAACCTGGGGGACTGCGCTGACCCTCTCAACAATACGATTAGAAAGCTCTTCACTGCGGAATTACTCAGAGGGAAAGGGGGCTTAAAAACACAAACTGAGGGAGATTACAGACCTGTTCCATTCTCTTAAAGCAGGCAAAAGTAGTGGAAACCCTTCCTCCCCTCCCACTCATCCCCATACACACAAAAGAGGGGTAAAGTAGCAGAGACCCTCCTTTTTGGCAACATTCAGAAGGTCTGGGAGGAAGGGTGCAGACTCCCCCTTCCAATTTAGTGAGGGGCACACAATACTAGCCAGAACTGATATGAAAGCTGGACCCACTGGGATCTGGAGCACAAGGTTGAAGCACGGCTTAAGTTAGGCCTGGCTGACTCCCCCTTAATGACAGAGGGGCATTCAGGCCAATCCTGAGCAGAGGTGCAATTCATTAGGTCACAACAGTTGGAGTAAGGATCTGGGCATAGGCCCCCACTGTGGAGTGAATTTTTCATTCTATTTCTTTTTATAGAGTGGTTTTCATTTTAGTTCATGTTATTTCACATTTGCAAAAAACACAAGATTATATAAATAAGCATCCAACAAATGTTTCCAATCTTGTGCATTACATAGGAAGGGACTGAAGGTTCAACTTCATTAACATTAATAGGAGACTTGGCCTGAAAGATGGACTACAGGGTAATATGATCAGTACTTTTAAAGCAGCACACAGAAAATTTTCCAAATTATGTATCTTATTTATAGTAAAATATAGTGATCAAGGCACAAGCTTCCATCTTGATCAATAGATGCAAAGGAAAACAAAATTAGTTTGTTATTCGAGTCCACTGGAAATTAAAGTATACTATATAATTAACATTAACTGTTGAAGATGATTTTGTAATGGTTACCTTTTTTGATTGCCAATGCTTTCTAATCGTTCAGCCTACTCTTTCAGTCCTAATTTGACTTGTCAAATTAGGCCTCCTGCTGGGAAGTATTAAAATTGCAGTCCCCCATTGAGACAACTACCTCTTTCACTAAACAGATACTGAATCAGTAATGCATTCCTAAATAAATGCTTTACATTCTTTGACATTGTCATTTAGTAAACATTTAGAAAGTTTAATTATTGAGTTTTCCTTAAAGCATTTCACAGTAACACAGCTGATGCATTAAGAGGCTTCCATAAATACTTTTATCAGCTCTAATCTTCTCGCAAAACCTGAGGACTCCAATAATGCTCTGCAATTCTATAGCACCTTCCAACATTAATGAAATAATCTTCAACACTCCTGTGAGATATGATCATATTGTACAGCTGGAGGACCAGAAGCACAAATAGATGAATTGCACAGCCATGAGGGGCTGAGTACTTCAGGTCCCACAACGTCAAAATATGGGGTTCAGAATCTGGAAATCAGGGTATGTTCCCCTCTCTACCACTGGACTTGTGGAGAAGGTGCAGAGACCTACACCAGGTCCAAACTCACATGCCCAATGCTATACAGTCAGTGACACAATGAGAACTGAACTCTGAGACAAACTTCCATACCTGTGCATTAATCACTAAACTGTAAGTGACTGTTATAATGGGAAGTTACTCCTGCTTAATTTTGGTTTTGATATATTTGCAGGTGGCTGGAGGACAAATTTATTCTAAATTTTCTTTGAAGTAAATGTGATATTTGTTGAAAAACTTAACATGTATAAAATTAGTTCAACATTTCTCAAAACACTACTGTAACCAACAGTTGGAATCTGTAGCAAATATATGATGCATTACCTTTAGGTATATTTACTACCTTATTTTCTGTACCATGTGCATAAAAATAGAGTTTTAGCTGGGCCTTCAAAAGCTACAATTCATTTTTTCCAGCTCCAGGTGTTCCTGACAGACTTAACTCTGAAAGTTTACATGTGCAAACTCATCTAGATTAAATAAAAACATATCTTGCACCATTACTTAACTTTTTTGAAAAAGTTAAGGAAATTAATGTTTCCCAAAAATAAAATATTCTCAAGTCCTCTATATGACAGTAATATACCAGTAACAAATCAGGAAGCTATATATTCTTTAAATGGTCTACAAAATTGGGAAGGACATGATAGTTTCCTCCCAGTAAGAAAAAGCAAAGCCGAGAGTAGTATTTTAACTGGTAACCAAAACATCTCTACCCACTCTACTCTATTCAGTACTAACAAAATTAAGAGATCAGAGTGCTTCATACAGAGAGAATTTTCTGGTACAATAAACATTACACTCTGTTCATGCCCTTATCAGACCATTGGGCACAAGCTGATTTCTCTATCATTGTGCCATAGTTCTAACAGATCAAGGTTTTCCTGCATAAACTGTCCAGGGTTCTAGGAGGATCTGTGTGACCTTCCCTGAGAAGTTAGATTCATAGCACTTTTTGAAAGACTGAGGGAGAAACTCCTTTGTCCTAGCCTATTACATCTCCCAGAACAGGTTGTCAATTTTAAGGATGTGTATAAGATCATATAATGGCTACCATATGTTCTTACACAGTCACTGCACTTCCAGCATCAAACTCAATAGTATGAGATTTTAATTGAGCATTTATTTGGAAAGTCCCAGTGGTGTAAGACATAGCTTATGGGAAAAAACGAAAACACTAAACTTTTAGTACGATTTTCACCCATACACCAAGTTTTATGCATTTTCATAGGAGATACTACAACAGAATAAAATCAAATTTAATTGCCTTTTAAATAACTGCAACAGCTACTTTAATTTTGTTTCAACAGCAGTAAGTTATTCATAAATCAAATAGTTCACATGCTAGCGCAGAATGACAAGTAAATAGAGCAGAACACATTCAAGCAGAATATAAACCCTACATATGAAAGGCAATTTTTCTTAAACATGGTGCACAGCCATTTTACAAATGTTACAAATAAACTACCAAGATGCAGGCACTCTAAGCCTTAATCTTCATTAATCCTGGGATGTCAGACAATTCTGGAACATCAAGGGAGGAAAAAAACCTACTGATGGAAAGATACCTTGCCAAATTGGACCATGTTAAATGGGAGTAAGTATCTACAATTCCTCTAAAATAAATGCTTTCAAAGTGACCTGTTCCAAAACAAGTAATTTCTAAATTCAAACATTTGAAGCCTTTACAGGAGGGGAAAAAAAAGTGGTATGAACAGAAAGAACATGGAAAATTGGTTAGAGATACTTTTGTTAGCCTGCTTTGGCCTTTTCATGTGGTTGGTTTTCATAGATATTAGTTCACAAGTGCTCACAACTGTGGGGAATTTAATAATAAAGGAGATATGAATTAAGAGCTCTAGTAAGAATACATTATCAACTATGTACAGATGAAAAAAAATGAAAGCCAGCATCCTGGAAGAATTTCCAGTAGTTGAAGATAAAAACTAACTAAATAAGAGTAAACCTCTGAATTGTGAGCAATTTGGCAGACTTAAATGAACAACCAAATATCCTCTCAGCACTGAAGCCAATGCCTTCTACTTGTATTTAAAATGGCACTGTTCTCAAAAAGCACTGGAGGACTTAGTTTCCATGCAATCCTATTATCTCACAGAATTGGGGAGGGGGAGCAAATACAGCCATAAAGAAGGAAGACAATTATAACCAACATAAAGCCAACATTAGACTCTCAGATGGTTCTACACATAATTTTTCATCAGTTAGAGGAGATTGCATTCAATGTATCTTCTGATTATTATAGACATAAAACAGAGAAAAGAAGGAACCTTAAGATCGGTGCAATTTAAGAGATGGTACCAAGAGAAACAATGACAGAACAAATGGATGTTTTAAAACCATTGACCTGGCTGAATGGAAAAGTGATTGGGTAATTACAAAGGACTGTCCTTTCCAGATGTTGTTCCACTGCATATTTGCCATAGAATACAAGCGGTGGAAATTTACCTCAGAGATTAGTAATACTGTCTCACTTTTAAACTCATATGATGCTCTTTCCTTTCCACAGTAATTTTTATTTAATATGACTATGGCTTAACTTGAATCTTGGTATTAAAATAAAGATAATGCTGGATTATAGTCTTTTGGAAAGTGCTGTATGCTGTGCATTCAGGGATGGATGGAGACAACACAATATCCATAAAGGATAAGACTGCAATATACAAGTCATCTCAAATGCAGGCTCGAAGTTTTGAGTGTGCAAGCAAGAATATGGATGGCATGATACAGCAAGTCATGTTGTTATACAATGGTAGCAGAGAATGGAAAAAATCCATTACTGAATACTGAAAAAACAAATATGCTCTCTGATGAAAACAGGTAAAAATACATGAATACAATGAGCTTTTCATTCGTT